ATTAACGATAGACGTTGTAAACGTCGATTAACGTCGCTTAACGTCGACAGGAAAAGAGGCTTTAATTATAGGCCTACCAATACTGTTTGTAATAATCGTGGACTATATGAAAAAATAGTGCACTGTTTGGGATAGGCAAATAACACTCGCAGTTGAAGTGATGACGTCACGATTGACTTATAATAATTAATATAAGCATTTTGTTATTACACGTTATCATAATTTATCACCAAAGAAGTAATAGGGCCTAATATTACTACTACTACTAATGATAATAATATTAATAAAATGATTTGAATTCTTATTACTAATATTTGATTTTCTCAATATACCTTTTATTCATATTATTCATTTTATTGTACAATATCATTATTTTCACCGTTAATATGGAATCATTATTGTTATCAACATTCAAAACAATAATAATAACTATAATGTTATATTTATAACATATTGCCCCATGTGCGTTACACAGAAATTGTATAGGGCCAACCTAGAGAATAATAATAATGATCATGGTGATGATAATAATAATAGTAATAATGATAAACATAATAATATTAATAACAATAATAAATGATATAGAGATTATGTTTATTACTATTATCATTACTAGTATTTATTTTACTATTGATATTAGGTTTATTCGATGGAAGAATCCCCATCCATGGATCAAAGTAGACCCTGAAAGTACACAAAAGGTAGGAATTGTTTAGCGCAAGCATTTGCTTTTGATAACGACATGAGACACATAAAGCATGATAAAATTGTATATATGAATTACTCGGGGTTTGGATCTGTAGTTAACAATAATAAATAGACTATTAATAATATGTGTATAGTATACACCTACACATGTTTCTCCTGACGCAAATCCATTTATTGTCTATTCCATCACGACAATAATAATTACTATGTGTATAGTATACCTATAAAATCCTACAATTATGGATTGTTACCAAACGTTTATTTAAAACGCATGACCTAAACATTAGGTGAAAATAATCTATTATCAATCAGCTGATCGTGTACATTAAGGTCCCACTGATGAGGTGACGTCATTTATTTTGCGTCAACTTAATTTAAAAAAAACATCGCTACTAAAATTATATAAATAGAATTTTTAACTTTCTGAATCCTTAAACAAATTACGGGTAAAATAAATGATGGTTGTTCTTAATGATTCCCTTTTTATGTGATTTAATAACTGTTGGAAGTTGGTAATAACATGCACTGTGTTTGTCAATATTTCAGCTGATCAAGGGTGGACAGAAGTACCAGGTAAATGCGGCCATTGAACAACTTAAACGCGAAATTGGCAGCAGCAAGTGAACATGGATGCATTACTTGCCACTAAATAGGCATAATAACGGGTATAACAACATCAACAAATACCTACACATGTTAAGTGTGTATCTTCATGTTGCTTAAATACGTCACAGGTCCAAAGGTGTAATTCTCAATGAACAATTTTAACATTTACGCTGTAACCAAATCGACATAAGTTATTAGAATCAGTATTAGTGTAGGTTTACTTGTAGATAATAGAGAGTTCTCGAAATTACAACGTAAGACGTTATGCGTCACAACTTACCGACTTGACTCGTCTTACTCCGAAGAACGCATGCGTAATTATGCACAAACTTTTATTATGTTGTGTAGGCTGGCATGGAACTAACCGATTCTCGTGCTATGAAAACGTATAGTAGGCCCTGTGTGGAAAGGTAACTAATTTACATGATATATACGTTGTGATTTCGAGGAACTCCGTATGGAGAAAGTGGGGAAAAATATTTAAATATTAGGCAATTATATAGAACACAATATATGAATAAAATAATTAAATTAATTTTTGTAAATAATAAACATATAGTATTTTGGCAGATGAAATATATTTAAATCAAAACTAAATATATGTTAATTATATTGATATATAATTTTATAGCGCTCATATTCTTTCCTTGCAAGGAAGAAATGAATCTCAAGACAATTTTCAAATTTGTGTTAATTGGATACAATCATGGACAAGTGCAATTTCCCAGATGCCATGGGAATTATTCCACTGAAATTCCACTTGGACTTATAGCGTATACGTTGCCATACATGTACCTCAGCACACACTAATTTTCATTCCAAAGCTTAGCTATTGTAATACCAGGTACAGACAGCAGGCATGCTTAAAAATGTTATTCGCTGCTTCACATTAAAATATTATATGGAAAAGCACGTGCTTCAACCAATGTCGAGTGTCTTGGTTTGTGTCAATTAGACCAAATATTTACACTATTTATGATTTTACAGTTTACTCAGTGTCAGTGATGAAATATTAATTCATTTAAAGATGTTTTAAATTGCCTCTGTTATTTAGCGAAAGGTAAATAAAACGAACAATTCAATAATAATAATAATAATAATAATAATAATAATAATAATAATTACAATAATAATAATAACCGTAATAATGATAATAATAATAATGATAATAATAACAATAATAATAATAATAATAATAATAATAAT